GCCCTCAGGTAAAAAGGTTTCATGGGAGAATTAGAGTTTGCGAAGACGGCGTTGCGCGGATGTGCGTACGGGTTAAAGGATAGCAAGGGCAATTTCATGAGAAAGCCCTGGGCGATAGCGGCTACCTCCACTGTTGTTGCGGAGGGGCTTGAGCGCAGATGTGATGGCGCGCACGAGCATGTCGAGGCTACAGGACGAGAGCGCAAGAGCGCAGAAGATTACACGGATGTTTTTGCTAAGCAGGTCCATATTGTCATTGCCCGTGCTGCAGGGAAATTTTTGTCGTCCGTCGTCGTCCCATCTCCTCCTCCACTCATGCGTGTGCCGCTGCCGTTTCGTCTCTAGAGCTTGCGCGGGCTGCCCCGCGGCCGGCCCCCCCTGGGATCGAGCTGTTGCCTTGCGGCGACTGCTCGAGCCTTGCCTGCCGCGCCCCCCGCGCGTCTGAGAGAGCATCGACCGAACCCATGTGGCGACCGTTGAAAGACTCAGCGGTTAAGCCCCCAGGAGAGGACGGTGTCTCGATCTGCTCTGATGACATCGTAGATGATTTCGACTCCGGCTCAGTCGGAGAAGAATATCAAGGGAGAGAAGTTCGACATGATGCTCCTCCCAAAACAATTCGAGAAGCCACGCCACCGGCTCAGACGAGAGGGGAGGCTTGCCCACCGGCTCAGCCAGGCGGGGCAAAAGACAACGACTTCAGCCCGAACGATTTTGTGTCCGAGATGGATGTCGAAATGGAGGCTGGTGTTGAGATCCGCGGCGAAGAAATAACTGCTCGCAGAAGGGCAGCAGAGGCAGCCTTCCGAGACAGTCAGCACACAAAGAAAGCAGCCAACACTAATACTGATGACATCGACTCCTGGAAGAACAAGCCGATCTTCAGATGTTACCCCGACAAGTTGAGGGAATGGTCCCGACCGGGACCTACTGGGGATATTAAATTCGTACCCACCACAGGATGGGGTTGGCGCTACACAGTGCGGAGGCATGACATACTCTATATGCGGAGCGACGAAGTCGTGACCGCGTTGAAGGCAGACTTGGACTCAACATCACAGACGATATTTCAGCGTTTATATTCCCAGTTTTCGCAAGATCCATGGACGGTACATTGGACGATGTTCGAGCGGAAGGCGACTTGCCGCTTCGATTGCGCCCTTCCTGACCTGGACAAGATCCTTGTTGGCACGTTCTTTCAGACGTATCCTGACGAAAAGACGAAGTTGGTCAGCAAGGTGCACGCGAACCCTCCTGGGGGATACCGTGGCATAGTTCGACCGCTCGAACCGGGAGAAGTCATAGGTCCTACTGTCGGCTCAGTCGTTCGGTATGAGACCCCCTTTGGAAACTGCGCGAGCGTGCCAGTGATAGACCACTGGACAGAGGGGCCCCCGCATGTCTGGGTTGATATTTGGGCGCCTTCTCCCTGAAAGCCTCCCCAGGGCTCAGCCACTGGGGGTAGCTGGGGGGCGATGTTTGCTCTTCCAGTGGTCAAAGGCTTATACCATGCGCCAGTGCATGTTGTCGAGGAGGCCCTTACCGCCACTGCAAAAGCGCCTCGAGGCCTTTCCTCAGCGGGCGGTGCGTTGGCGGAAAAGACAGCGCCCGTGGAAAAGACCGCAGAATCTTGAAGAATGGCTGGTCAGGGAGGGCCTCGATCCAGGGGCCGATGAATACTCGCCGCAGAAAAAGCCGAGAACTGCAGCAGAGGCACCGGATGACACAGTTATCGTGGCTAGTCAACAAGCAGTCCCGTGCGGCAATCAGCCTTCATCGAGCAGCCCTGGAGCCCGGCGACAGGTGGCCGGCGAATCATCCGCCGGCCAATCTTCTGGCAATAATAACCCTCCCGGCTCAGCCGGCGGGGGCACTGGTGGCGGACCGCCCCACGGCTCAGCCGGTGGAGGTGGAGCTCCACCAACATCCGGCGGATCCTCTTCAGGAAACAATGCACCCTCTCACCCCTCCTCAGGAGGTGGTGGAGGGGGAGGGCCGCCCGACTCAGGACCAGAAGCAGCTGAAGCTGAGTCTGATGATCAGCCTTACATCGGGCGTGGCCCCTGGAACGTCCTAGAGTATCTACGGACGCAGGGGATCTTCGGGGATGGCCCCAAACTCCCCACGAACGATTGGCGGGAAAAGGTGGGTGAAATTCTAGACCTACATTGGGGTCACGGATCCAAGCAATCAAAGATTGGTCGACCAAACTGACCTTCATTAAGAAATGTCAGGCCGTTTCTCAGATCGCCAAAGTTAACGACATGGGGACCTCGCTGCTATGTCGTCCACGGGGAAACCCGTGACGGATTTCTTTCGCCCGCTGAGCCAGATGAGGAACGGGTCGAATCATGCTTGGTCTTGCTCTGTTCACATTGTTTCGGATTCTACAATTATGTTCAAAGACAAATCAGGGCCCCCGAAGCCTAGCCTGTGCCCTGAATTTAACCTGCGTGAGAAGGTGTTCGGAAGTATACAGCAAGCCATGAGTGGAGCACAGATTTCGAACATCCTTGAGGCCTCTTCACAATTTCGGTGGGACCAGAGCGGGTATTACATAAGAGGGATTCACACTTCGATCCGATTTACGTTCTGGAACTTCAATGACATTGTCGATAACTCATCTAAGCTAAACGGAGTTGGGAGCGGGCCCAAAAGCGAGGAGAACCCGCTCGCGTTCGCTGGAAGCCTCAGGTTCATGGTGAGAGACGCTGTTAAGTTGATTGACGACGCGATGTGTCGTTCACCCGAGGGGGCGATTGACATCATGTATATTGGTGGAGACCACAAGTGCTGGCAGGACGATGAAGAGGGCGCCGGCCCGATGTGGGACGACGTTGCCACCCTAGTTCGAGCCGGAATGAACCGACGGATAGAACACTACAAAGCAATAGGAATGTTTCCTAGAATAATGATTCTTGACGGAGTGCAGCCTCTACCGGCAGCTGAGGCACCGCCCAGGAGACGTTTTCCATTACGGTGCCAGCCACCCGGACTATAAACTAAATAATGGAGGGCGTACTGAAAGCGTGAATGCTGGCCAGTTATGTGCGGATTACATGATCAAGACGGCCAAGCTAGCCGTATTTTTTCTGTTAGCCTTCCGGCGGCTCAGCCGTTCGAGATGGTCATATAACGTGCGCAACGAGAGAAGACGGATATGCCAGACAGGAGGCGGACGTTAAAGACGTTGTCCTGTGCTGGCAGGACTGGGCTCCTGCTGTAGGCAATATACCGCATCGATATTTGGCACGCGCCCATTCAGGGCACCTTTGACCAACGTCGATTTTCCAGCCGTTTCAAACGGATCTGGAGGTGGTGCAATATATTCATTTTACTCAGAGGATTTTTTTGAATTTTCTTGAAAGAGGAGCCGCATACAGTGACTTTCCCATGGGCGGATGATGCCTACTTTTTGCCTCGCGGAGAAATTTTCTGTCCCGGAATGCCACCGCAGGGCGATAATCAGAGATCGGAGAATCTAAACGATGAGCCTACGCGTGCAGCACTCAATGAGTTGAACAAGGCAGCGCCAGCGGCTGCGCCGAGCGGCATAGCCGTCTCGGTGAGTGGCGCGACGCTGGGTGACATAGCTGTCCCCGTTCCCGCCGCGTCATCGGCTGGTGCTGTTGCTCCGGCTGGGGATGCCAGGCCCGGCGGCTCAGCCGCTACGGGCTCTGGTTCCAGCGCGCGAACGGCTCAGTCGCCTCGCGCTCCCCCTTTGGCGCCACCGTCTAATGTCAAAGAAATCGAGACGCCCGGTGAAGCAGCAGAAAGACACATCCGTGAAAAGTGCCCGGAGGGAAAATTGACCAGGCTCAGCGGCAGTTACAAGTTTCCGAGGCGGCCAAGAGAAGGTAGCCCGGGACAGGAATAACCCATCCAGCGCCATTCGGAGTTCGTCGGCATTCTCTCCTCCGTGCTTCCCCTTCCCCTCGCCCTTCCCTCCTTTTTTTTGTTTCTCTCTCTCTCTCTCTCTCTCTCTCTCTCTCTCTCTCTCTCTCTCTCTCTCTCTCTCTCTCTCTCTCTCTCTCTCTCTCTCTCTCTTTCTCTCCCTCTTTCCTTGTTCGTCTTTGTCCCCCGCCCCCCTCGCCCCCCCTTTTCATTCTCTGATCTGCTATCTCCTGTCTGCGCGCGCGTCGCCCTCCAAGAGCAATCAGGGGGTAAGAGGCAGATAACCCCAGTGTTGCTTGCACATCGATGTCCTTTCAACGTCAGGCTTGGCTGCAGAGAGTTTGTCCTCGCCCCTTGTCCTTCTTCCTCCTCGTCCGCTGTTTGGGGTCTCTTGTGTTTCTCGGCTGCTCTCACTTGCATCAGATTGTGCACATCGCGTCAATTCAGCTATGGAGTGATGGCCGTTCAACGTCGAGCTTGATATTCAGACAGTGGCGAATCTCACACTTGTGTCTTTCGATGCGCCTTCTCAGTCGTCAAGCTGCTCTTGCACGGCCGTCAATACTCAACGGCCCGTGGCCCAGCCCGTGTGCCTCCTTCCTTGCCTTGCCTGGCTCCCTTGCTTCCCTTGGCTCCCTCCCCGCCTCCTGGTGTGCCTTGTCCTCCTTTTCTTCCTCCTCCTCCCTCTCTCCTCCGCTCCTCCCTCCCCTCGCCCCTCGGTTTGTCCTCGCTGGCTGTCTTGTCGTCCTTCCTGTCGGCCCGCTCTCGTTGGCCCCGCGCTGCAAGCGGAGATCTGCGCGGCAGATCAGGCCCCTGCCAGCCGACGGGGGCCGGGGGTCTGTCAACGCCAGGTGTCGTTTCAGCAATGGGCGAACACACAACAGCGTCGCAATCCTACAGGGGACTGGGTTCATGCACGGTCTTGCTTTGCTTGACTTGCTTTGTGCCATTCTGCTTGTGCCATTCAGCAGGCTTTATCCTCTCTCTCTTTCTCATTCTAAATTTGGTTGCAGGGCGCATGTGTGCCGGGGCGCTGCGAGCGAGGGAGTTCTGTTATGCGTTTCCAGCCGCCGTGCTTGCAGGCCAGGGGGGAGGCCCGGGCCGGCATGCCGCGGCGCAGCCCCCTCCTTTATCCTAGCTGCGGGAAGAGGCCGCGGGCCCGGGATGAGCAGCGCCGGCCGAGGGCGACATGTGGCAGGGCGGTGTGCAGCAAGATCGCCCGTTCCAAATTCATCGGCAGGGTCAACTCGCAGCGCAGAGCACAGCAGCGCAGGCTGGCCACCCTTAAGAGGCCTGCGGCTGCCCGACGCTCCACGGCAGCCGCCGGAGGTGCGGCCCGAGCCTGTGCCGCGGTCCTGGGGCCCAGTCGCGCCGCGGGTCGCGCCACGTTCCCGGCCCGCGAGCGCGTGCCCCTCGCGCTCTTCCGGCGGTGCCTCCCGCGCCCGGCCTACCTCCGCAGGCTGTTCGGGCGCGAAGGGTCGGCCCGCTTTCATGTGAGGGTCTCCTTTAGGGAGCCGACCGAGCAGGAGTGGCAGCGCGTGGCATTCGCAGACGAAGCCCTGACCCTCACGCACCGGGGCATCAGAGGCGCCTCAGCGAGCGCAGCTCTGAAAGGCGACGCTACGCTCTCCGTCCGGACCGGCGGCCGCTATGGGAGCGGCTGCTATTTCGCGGCTGATCCGCTCTTGCCCCTAGCATACGCGAGGGAGACCCGGGACCAGGCGCGGCACGTCGTCGATGGAGCCCCGAGGGTGGTGCTGATCTGCGCGTGCGCCCTCGGGGAGACCCGCCTGGTTGGAGCCGAGCGCCCGGGTCCTATGTCTGCTGGGCAGACCTCCGTTGCTTCCAGTCCCAGCGGATGCGTTCCAGGGTTTGAGTTGTGCGTCGGGAACCCCAGCCACCGGTGCCTCATCATCGGCATCGCCACCGTCGAGCTGCTGTCCGGCTCCTTCCACCACGTGGCAGCCCAGAGCAAGTGCACCGCGGGGGAGCCTGATCCGGCGGGCCCGCACGTGATCGCGACGCGGCCGCGTTGGAAGGGCATGCCGCCTTGTTTGCAGTAGGCGTGCTCCGGAGCCTCCCGGCGCACCCAGAAAGTGGCGCTGCTGCACTGTGCTTTCTCTGTGCTTGTCTCCGCCTCCCCCCTCCCTCTCCTCTCTCCCCCTCCCCCCTCCCCGTGGGTCAGGGAGCGTAGCACGAGCATCATCAGCAGCGTGCGTGCCCGAATTCGCATTCAAAACAGGGGCCGGGAAATTTGGTCCAAGTGTTGTTTTCCATCAATTGCTATAGTTACGGTGTTTCTGCGTATGAGTAATGCGGAGTATCGCACGCGCCCGCCCCATCATCCCGTTGCAGTATGAGACCGCGAATGCATGCCATGACACTTTTATGTGCTTCATGTTGTTGACAGCAGTGTTCTATTTCGCCGCGCGACGCAATCTCCACGACACGCACGACAGGGTGTGTCCCGAGGCGCTGTCATGATTCGTGGCTCGTCCGCTGGTGTCTTGCAGTGCTGCATTGTCTCTGCTTCACAGTCGTGACGCGCTCCTGCTTCACGGTCGTGATGCGCCTCCTTTGGCCATGCGTGCTTTGACTTTAGGGACTTTTCTGCTGGTGACCCGCGGTGCTGCGTTGTCTGTGCTTCACTGTCGTGATGCGCCCCTGCTTCACAGTCGTGATGCGCTTCTCGTGGCCTTGCTTCAGTGCTGCGTTGTCTCTGCTTCGCAGTCGTGATGTGCTCCTGCTTCACAGTCATGATGTGGTCCTGCTTCACAGTCGTGATGCGTTTCATTTCGTGCATGTGTGTCTTCTGTTTTCGACGCGGCATGTGTTGACATGGGTAGGCAGTAGGCGACGCATGCGCGGCAGTTTGGGGGCATGTCCCAGGTGCACTATCGAGGCTTCGAGTGACTTTGTATTTGTTGCGGGCCAACGTGGTGACGTAGCGTTGTTGCGCTCTGCACGCGTGCTTCATCGGACGTGCGCGCGTCACTGAACACCATTATCGGCTCTCTGCCATAGGGCTCTAGCGGCAGGTTTACTATCGCGACCCGGGCCACAAACCGAAGCAGTTGAAGGAATGGGGGACAAACGGCCCCGCTCGAGGCGGCGGCGGCGCCGCCGCGACAACTCCCGGAGTTCCGACAGGGACCGCCGCGACAAGGGGACGATCGCGCGCCGGGCGCCTGGCCGAGGAAGAGGCATCACTTCCGTCAGTGATCCCAGCCGCCACGGCCCGAAGTCACCGACGAGAATTCCCCGACCGGCCAGGGGGGCGCTCGCGCACCAAGCGCCCCGCCGACGCTGAGGCGTCAGTGTCGCCTACGAGCCCAGCGAGCCCGGCCTGCGGCCAGGCGCCGACGAGGGCAGCCAGTGAAAGCCAGGGGCGCTTAGCCCAACACTTAGGTCAGCTTATAGAGGCGGATCGAGCGCAGGGCCGCCTGGCCGCCGTTTCAGCCGCGGCGCGTTCTCCTTTTGACGCACCGCCGCCGCCGCCGCCGCCGCCCCCGCCGCCTCCGCCTAGGAATGGGAGCGCGACGGCCGGCGCGGCCGCGTCACTGGAACCCCCGCCGGGGGTCTGGCAGGCTGTTTCACCTTTGCGTGCACGCTTGACCACTATTTCCCCTTCCTCCCCGGGTCCTCCACCTGGCTCGCCCCCTCAGCTCCCGGCGGGTTGGAAGTCGCGCAGGTCGTCCACTGGGGCACTTTACTACCACAACCGGGTAACCGGCCAGACGCGCTGGGATCACCCGAGCCCTCCGGAGGTGGAGCCTCCGGCTGCGCAGCGTGTCGTGCCTGGCGGCGTGCCCCCGCAGGACAGCGAGGGTTGGGCCGCCTGGTGGTTCAACCCGGTTACGGGCGCCGCCTGCAATGAGAAACCATCTGAGATTTCCGCTTGGACAGCCGAGGTTACCTCGCTGTCGGACGCTCTGGAGCGGGTTCGGAACGGATGCGATGCCCCTGCCAATTTTCCTCGCGGGGCCAGCCAGGCCTCCTTGCCAATAGCGGATGCCGCCACGAGCGCCACTGGGCCTGCGCCGTTTAAGGCCCCCCAACCAGGCCCCAACCCGTTGCAGCTTGCTTTCGACAGGTCGGGGGGCGTGCGCCCACCTACTCCTGCGGCTTCCGCGGGCCAGCCGGCCCCTCCCTCGTCCCAGGCCGCCCCCACCGCAGAGCAGGCGGCCCAGGCAAAAGCCGAGGTCATGGCGCTCCGCCGTTTCCAGCATAGGTCTGAACTGAACGCCGCGGCGGGCGCATGGCACAACCGCGCCCGCGAGTTAGTTGGAGACTCCACGGACGGGCGCGTCTCCACGGCCGCGGTGTTTAGTGCGAAATGCCATTCCCAGGCGGATTTGTACAAGCTTGTACAGGCCATGGGCGTAGAAGTTACAGTTGCCCCCGAAAAGGGCAAGCCCGCCCTCGCCCCCGCTCCGCTCGCGATCCCGCGGGGGTGCACCAACCAGCCCGGCGTGGAGATTACTTGGAAAGTGTCGCCAACGACGAAGATCACTGTACAGATCGAGAGCAAGAGGCTTGGGAAAATTGTCGCCAAAGGCAGGCGCGGGGCGTTCGAGACGCGCCTTGAGGAACTGCTTTTGTTCCTTGGCGACCCCATTGACGTCGAGTCGGCGGCGGCGCCTGCGCCGCCACTTGGGCCGGGCGCGCCGGCGCGGGTCAAATTGAAACCCGGCGATTTGCTTGAGTAGGCGCGCTGCGTAGTGCGTTGCGGCGTCGGCCGCGGGCGCGGGTGCCCAGCCCGACGCGCCGCCGCGGGGGCCGTGGCGGCTCGTCTCTTCCCACCGCTCTTTTCTCTGCCGCTTTTCCATCGTTTACCGTCGCCGAAGGGCCGCGCGGCTTATGAACCCATCTTTTACCTTGCGGCGCACCCTGGGGGTGACGGCCTGGGCGCGCGAAGCATTAGGAAAAAGCCCCAAAACAGGCGAGGCTTCTCTCTGATCCGCTGATACCCAACTGCTTGCATTCACTCTCCGGTTTGTGCTGCGCGATCGTGGCGTGGCCATGGGGGATCTCACTGCGCGTGCTTCGCAGTCGTGATGCGGACGGGCTGCGCAGATCGCTGCACTGTGTGTTCGTGAGCCGCGTGCCTGCGTCACTGCTTTGCCGCTTCCTTGTTGGTCGTGCTTCACAGTCGTGATGCGGGCGGGGTGCGTGTATCGCACAGGGGAATGTTGTATGTTGACCCTGCTTCGCACTCTTGCTTTGCATTTTGGCTTTGCTTCTGCTTCGCACCCGTGTTGCGGGTGATTGACCTGCTTCACGGTCGTGATGCGCCTCCTGCTTCGCATTATTGCTTTGCGTCCGCCTCCAAACTGCGCGGCCGGTGGCTGACCTGCTTCACAGTCGTGATGCGCCTCGCGCGGCTGTGTGCGACTTGTCATCGAGCTTGAGTGCGACGGCGCGTCGTATTTCATTGTCCCGCCTCACTTTTGTGGGGGGCTCCGCGAGGATCGGATTTTATGAGCTGCCCGCTGGTGTCTTACCCGCCGTTTCACCCCCCCTGTCGTTTTCTCTCTTCCCTCCCTCTCCCTTGCCCCCCCCTCCCCGTTCCCCCCTGCCCGCCCTCTCGCGCCCCCCCTGCTTCCCCTCGTCTCCTTTTCCTCTTCCTCCGCCGGCGCACTCCCCCGGCCGGCTGAGACATAGCTATCCCGATCGTGTGCGGTGCAGAAGTTGCAGTGTGGCGCGCCGTATCGGTGTCTGGTTGTCGCGTTGCCAACAGCTACACAGACGGCCGCGTCGATGGCGGATGGGCCGGCACGCCCGAAATGTAGCAGAGGTCATGTAGCACACGCTTGAGCACGTCAGTCCATTGGGGATTTCATGGGCCCGGGTAGCGGTCCGGTCCTGCTTCGCAGTCGTGATGCGCCTCCAGCTTCGCATTATTGCTTTGAAGTTGTGCTGCGGGCGATTGATCTGCTTCGCGGTCGTGATGCGCCTCGCGTGGCTGTGTGCGACATGTCTTCGTTGTAAGTCGTCCCACTCCACCTGTGTAGCGCTTTTGTTGCCGCCGCCGTCGTGCGTCGTCGTCGTCGTCGTTGCCGCCGCTGCCGCCCACGGCGTTAGCAATGGGGGGGGGTTATTTCGAATATTATCGCACCCGCCTTCACGCAGCGGCTCAAACCATTAGGGCGCTCCCTGGGGGGACGACGATAATGGACTTATCCGGTCGGCGCGCGGAAGCGGCGGCGACCGCCCTGGAGCCGCTGCGCATGAAGGTGCTTCGGTGGGCGTCACAGACCAAGAGACGGACGGAGGCCGCCGCGGCCCTCAGGGACGCGATAGCATTAGCAGACATGGCGCCCACCCTGTCCCCTGGGATTCGCCAGCATCTGGGAGCGGTGGCAGATCCCTCATGGGCGCTCTGCACTGCCGTCAGCACGCTCGTTCGACGGGAGGCGGTGCCAGCGTTGACCACTAAGGCGGCAAAGTCCACGGCCGTGACATCACCTTTTGTAGGGGGGATTTTTCAATCTGGAGAGCCAGGCCGCTGTGCAGTGCCGCCGTTGCTGAATGACTCCGCACGCTCACACCTGACTTTGGCCGTTCTCAACCCTGGTCGTTCTGGCTTCCTTCATTTGAGCAGCGATCTAATATTGGAGTGGCGGCTGGAGGCCGTCGCCCATGCCCTGGACGACAGGGGCGTAGACCTTTGCATCTTGCCGGGGTCGCGCTTCCCCGCTGGAGCCCTGTTGCCAAAAGGCTCCCCTTTCCTATGGCTCGGACCCGAATCCGCTGCATGGGGCACTGTCGGGATTTTTGTCAGGCCGGAGCTAGAGCGCGCCACTCGCCCCATCCATGATTTTTCGTCCTCCAGGGAGCAGTGGTACGAGCTGTGGTCTGATGGACAGGTCGATGCCCCCACTTGTATAATTTGCGCCATGTATCCCGTTCACGGCGGTGACTTGGACACTTGGGTGTCCATCGTCGCCCACGCGGGCGTTTTGCGCGCTAAGTTTCCTCGCGCGCGGCTCCTCGTGGGAGGTGATGGGAACCTCCACCTGGATTACGTTGTCTCCCACGGCGCCGGATGCCGGCGCCTGCGTTGCCACCAACGCTCCAAGGATAAACTGATCCAGGAGTGGTTGGACTCTGCCGGGTCGCGCGCCTTTAACCCGCCATCGCCCACGCACGTTTCAGGCACATGTATTGATTTGTTTTTGGGCTCCCGCCACGACCCGCTGCCCGCGCACGTCGTGGATGAATTTGTGGGGCTTTCTGACCACAGGCTCGTGCTGATTGACGTGCCTTGCCGGGCAACCGCGCAGAATTCGGCGGGGTTCGGGCGCGTCGCCTGGACTTCGGGCGAGGAGTGGGAGACTGGCCTTCGGGAAGTGGCCAGCACGCTACAGGCGCTCGCCACTGCTATTGAAACGGTAGGCACTAGTCAGTGGCTCCGGCCACCCTGGTACGGAGGCGGGGCCACCCGCCTCCAGCGCCGGGCCGTCCTCAATGTAGCCGCCTGGGCGCGCGATACCATTTATGCAATGGTGGGGCATGCCTCTTCGGCCACCCGCACGACGGGCGTCGCCAGTAGGAGCAGAGACACGTCGCGGCGCCCCCCGCTTGACCCCTCGCCTTACCCGTCCCACGAGGCCTTCCGGGAAGCCGCATCGGCGGCGGCGTGGCAGGAGAGACGCAAAGCTGTCCACCGCTACCTGGACATCCGCGAAACCAACGCTGGCGCCGCCGAGCGCTTCTTATCTGGATTTTTCAGGTCAACTGCGAAGTTCGACATCCAGCTAGTGGATTCCATCACTGGGCACGCTTTGTCCACTAGCGGCATGATCGATGCGATCCGTGACGATGTGTATTCTAGGGCCCACAATGATTTCCCGCAGTGCCCGGAGGCCAGGGACAGCCTTGCGCAGGCGGTCACCGCCATCCGCCGCTCGGGGGCGGAGGCGGGGCCCCTGTATCCGGAACGACCATGCGCCGACCATGAGGTCGAAGCGGCGCTTTCCCTGCTCAAGCCAGGCAAGCGCACGGTTCACTTGTGCAACGCAGCCTTGCGGGTCCAGGTTGAGGAGGGCTTCCGCCTGACGCGGGCACTACTCAATCTGGGTCGCGCGCTGTGCGTAACGGCCCGTCCATGGTCTCTTCGCCATTTTGCCCCAATCCGCAAGTCAGGGCCGGCGACTGTGCGGAAGATCAAGTCATTGCGGCCAATCTCGCTCACGACTGACATGGCCTCAGTCCAAGACGCGGCATGGATTGCTCGCAATGGACCTCTCATCGAGGCTTACTGTGGCCCGTCCCAGCAGGGGGGGGTGGGCGATACTGTTTCGTTGGTCATCGCTCTCACTATGAATGCCCAGTTGCGGGCCGCGCAAGACCTGCCAACTTGGTGGGCTGTCGCGGACAACAAATGGGCGTTTGACGTAGCTTCGGTGAATGGCATGCTGTGCGGCGTTTTTGAAGCCGGCGTACGCGGGTCGGACTGGCTGTTGCTGGACGACGTGTTGGCACAAGACCATCAGGCGGTCGGCCTGCACAACTTATTGTCGCCGGTGTTCGCCGTCGGGCGCGGTGCCGCCCAGGGCAGGCGTTTCTCGGTCCACATTTTCAACGCGCAATTGAAAGCGCTGCCCGTTGAGATCGCCGCCGCAGTCCCCGGGGGGTGCGCCACCGTGGCCCCGCGCCTGGCTAGACAAGCTATGGCTGCTGCGGGCGAGGCTAACCCCCCAGCCACCGAGGCGGCAATGCCTGACCGGGCCTTTCCCGCGGCGGCAATGTTGCATGAAGTGCCACGGGTGGCGGCGACCGAATCCCCGCCATGGCCGCGCGCCGAAGCCGCGTTAGCCGCCCGGCTCAGTGCCGTCCCCGCCCTAGCGGACAGAGCCGCGGTGGTGGAGCTCGCGGGTGAATTGCACATGCCGCCTGCCCAGTTTGTCGACGACATCACGGTAGCTTGCCCATCTATAGGGGCGGTGCGCGCCGTCCTGTCTCCTGAGGACGAATCCGCGTGCAGTAGGTACGCGCGCACTTTTAAGTCGTTTTTCTCACGTGAGAAGTCCAAGACGTGCGTTCTTCCAGTCCTGGGTGCGCCCCCCCCCAGTCTCGCCGGCTGCCCAGAAGTAGACCGCAAGGTCCTCTTGGGAATTTTGGCGGATTCCGACCTGACGTTTTACCCCCTCCTCCGTGGAATCGTCGCCGTCGGGCATAGCTGCTTCTCCAAGCTGTTGTATGCGGCAGAGTCTGGGGGCTTCTCCATCCCAGTGGCTGCGGCGCAGGTCCCAGCCCGAGTTGAATCTGTGGTTTTGTACGCTGCCCCGCTCCTGGCCGCCGTGCCCGGCGCGGAATCAACCATGAACAAGTTGCAGGTGACTTGGGGCCGTCGCCTTTTGGGGTGCCACAAGGGACCGCCGATTCGCCATGCCGTGGTCGTCGCCCAATGTGGCTGGCCAATGCGCCTGGGGACGAGATTTTTAGAGAAGGCGCTGATGGCGCGAGCACGGCTCATGGTCCTGCCGGGGGACCACCCAGGTGCCCTCATGCTGCGGGCGGCTCGGTCTTTGGCCACCCCCACGTGGGAGTCGGCAGCGGTCGCTCTGGCCCAGCGCCTGGCCCCGCCCCCGCAGGACCTCGAGGGGCATCCCTTATTCCCAGCCGCCCTGCTGGACGAGGCGCGCGTGTCGTCCGCCGCTAGGAAAGCAATCCTCAAGTCGTGCCGGCTCGAGGTGCTGCGTCCGTCTCTCTTGCGGTGTGACCGCGCAGCATACGCGAAGGCTGCCATGCCAATTTTGGCACCCTTTAATCGCTATTTTGCCGCTTTGTGCACCTTCCTATCGCCACTGGACCTAGACATGTTGGCCGGGGAGCCAGGGCCGTCCTTCTGGTCCCACTACCGCCTTTGGGCGGTGGCCCGAATGACGGGCAAGTGGCCCCTGTGAGTCATGGGGGGTAAGGAGCACCCCATGCACATGCGCCGGTGCAGAGCCTGCGGATGCCGCAGGGTTTCGGTGCGTCACGCGCTAAGTGCTTGCCCCGTGCTCGACCGGGAACGCCGGGAGCTTTTTCCAGGGGATCCGCCGCCAGATTTGCTGCTCCAGCTCTTGTTCGGCGACGCAACGTGCTCCCTCACGCGTATCCAACACGTGGGCTTTGCAGGTAGGGCCATCCGCAGGTGTGCTCCGTGTTCCTTCTCCTCCTCGTCGTCCTCTTCCTCCGCTTCCCCCTCTTCTCCTGACTCGGGATAGGTGGCGGGGCATCCCGCTGCCGCTCGGACCGCCCGACAGCACCGCCAGGTCTGACGCCCCCCGTGCTTCGCAGTCGTGATGCGCGCCGCTCGGCTACTCCGGTGAGGGGGGATCCCTCCGCGTGTTACTTTGTGTTTGTCTTTCCCCTTGTCCTTGTCCCCCTCCCGCTCTCGCGTTCTTGTGCTTGCAGCAAGGCGCCCCTCCACCTCGTAGTCGGGAGGGGCCATGTTTCGTTTGTTCCCGTGCCTTCTGGGCTTGGGGCTGCCCGCGGTGCTCGCGGGGCCCTCTCCCCCTCCCGTGCGCCCCCCCCTCCCCCCTCGTGCAGAGTTTCACCGCGGGCGTCCCGCAGTAAGGTCGCTTGGCCCCCGGTGCCCAGCCCGCTGGCGCAGCGCCTGGTCTGCCGGCGCGCCCTCCGAGGCGTCTGCGGGGGCCCGCTCGTCGCCCCCAGGGTCGCCCACCAGCCTCACCTGGCCTCATGGCCAGGGGAAGCGGGGCTTCCTGGGGGGGGGGGAGCGGGCGTCGGCAGGCCTGTGGAGATAGTGAGGCGGCCCGTAGCTCCGGCGAGTGGCGCCTCCCGTGTCCGCGGGAGGAGCGACTAGCTGCGGGCGGCCTGCCCCTGCTTGCCCCGGTACCAGCAGGGGGGGAAGGGGTGTGTGACACCACCTCCTGTCCCCCGTCGGCTGCGCGACTCCGACCTGCTCGCGCCGGGCAGCTCTGAGCCGCAGCGCCCGCGGAACGCGCGTCGGGGGTCGCCGGCGCGCGCGCCGAGGCTGTTATGATTGCGAAATACGAAATGCGAAAAAAAGCAGACAAAGAAGTTGCTTTTCCAGAAATCATCGGCGACAGAGATCACTCATTATGATTTTCTGTGTCCACTCACTGTTGCTAGCAAGAACCTCCATCGGGGCACGATGCCTATGAACGCCTATCCGGGCGAAGAAGGCCGCCTTGCAGAAGTCGCTCGAGGGATGGGCCCAGCTAGAAGCAGGGAAACGACAATGGTTCTAAAAACAACTAACAGCGAAGCGTGGTTTGCCTTCCAGTTGCTTCAGAAGACGACGAAAGTCCCGCCTGCGACTCCACGTTGCATAATTCCGAACTGGGCGCGTTTCTTTAGAATCAAAGCCGACAGGTCGATAGCAAGCCCGACAGCCACTGTGGCTGACCGCTTGAATTGGGCTAAATTGAGGACGAGCACCCGCAGGGTGGGCAGGGCCCGCTGCGTTGAGCTTTCATTGCCTTTCTTCGTGACGTATGCAAAGAGTGCGGAAGTCTCAGACTCATCCGCAGGTTGGACAAAACAGTCGCACGGCACGTCTGCGACTGCCCTTCATTCGATACTGGAGGGTCATCAGTTGCTCCCATCAAATCCCAAAAACGGAGGGAATGTGAAAACACATGCGGTTGGGGTATATTCCTTCCCATGTACCGATAACCCCAACACTCACACCACATATTCTGTTGTGGAGGAGACTTTTGAAGATGGTATTTGGGTGACTGCTGAGATTGTTTACTATGCCAAAAAAGCCAAGGCCCATTAAAGGATCACCGACCCAGTATGTGAGTGACCCGATGAGCGATGTGTTGCATGAGCTGCGGCTCTACCATTGGACCGCGGCAGCATTGTACGTTACTGACGCGTGGTCACATGTGCTGCGTGTTGCTAAGCAAGACGGTTGGAATCTGGAGCAGGACTTTGAGGTCAAGAGGTGCTGAGATGAAGCTCGGACGGCGCCAACGGACAAAGTCCGGGAGGCACAGATGGCCCGGGTCCCAAATTTGAAACAATTTGACTGGCAAGTGGGACAGAGCCCATATTTGAGGGGCAAAGGGGCAACCGACGATGAAACATATGACGACATGTGTCCTTGGCTCCAAGGGAAAGGAGTCAGATTATCCAAGATTCATGCGATACACAAGAGCGAGGCCTCGGAGAGGTCCATGAACTTGGTTGAACAGAACAGACTGGGGAAATAATCGGCGCAAGAGGCGGACAAAAAGGAGCCGGCGGCTAAGCCGTCCAGCACCCCATTTTCAATCGAGAATAAGGATTTCCCAAGCCTCGGACGGACCCCTGCAAACCAAGAGAGGACATGCAAAGCGCCGCCCCCCGGGGCCACGACTTGGCCCTCTACTCTCAAGGCTCCTCCTCCTGGAGGACCGAAAGAGATTGTCCCCAAAAGGGCTCCACCGGCGATTCAAACGCCGACGAAGCCGCCGGCCAACAAGCCGAGCGCTCCGATGCAGAGGAATGTTCCGCAGGCAAAAGAGTTTCCCAAGAAAGCTCCACCTCCGCCGCAATTCGGGCCAATATCACAGGCATTTGGCTCTCCGCCAGCGAAGATGCCTCGAACTGAAGGAGATCTTGCTGCATCCCCGACTGCACAGCCACCGGCTAAGTCGGGTGGCAAAGGCATAGTCGGCAGCCAAACTTGGAGACCAAGTGTTCCTGAGCCTCCGCCCAATTTGACCGAATTTATTGGATCTAATGTTTCCGACTCTCCGCCCGTCGATCAGAGCCATCAGAAAGCTGAGCCTCGATATAAATCTGCACCGAGTACGGTCAGGCGTTGGGGAGATGCACGGCATGCCGAAGACAGTGCCACAAGAGATCGGCCTGCAGAAGCGCACTCCTCGACCGACGAGGCGAAATCTGCCCCCGCTGAAGAGGTAGTCCCCGACCACGATGGAGGCGATAATACATTGGATATCACAGGCGCAAGCCCGACGACTCAGTCGGATGGGGATCATTCATCTGGGGATTCGCCAGTGTTGGATGGTGACGACGATGCAACCTCTATCTTACAAGCCTTAAGAGACGTCTCAAACAAACACGTCTCGCGCCCAAGAGCCAGCAGTGCATTGAACAATGAGAGACAGTTCTTCTACCGTCTGAGAGGATTACGGACGAGAGCGCAAGAAGTTGACCAGCCGGAGACTCTTGAGTGGAAGAAATTCAGAATAAAAGCTGCCTCGTTTATTCAAGCAGCGAAAGGTGTTTATTCGATATATGCGCAGAATAATGAACACGAGCCAGATACTTATTCTGCTGTATGGAATGAATTTGCTGATGCTGTTGTTGAGCAAATCAGAAAGACGGAACCAACTTTTGTTCGCGCCCCCGTGGTGTCGGAGAAACCCAGGAGGTCCTGACGTGCAGAGGCAGGTGGCTCGGGAGCAAGCATGGTCAGAGTACCTACTCCTCCTGCCCCTCTGTCCAGCTCAGCTGCGACGGAGGATCCCCCGATTCCTCCACCTGGTTCAACCGGGGCGGAGCAGGATGATCAGTTTGACGCACATGAAAAATCATCAGTGTCTCCCACGGTGGAGCCATGGGATGAGGGGGCAACGTATGCCCCCAAAGCATCAGCAAGGCGCCCGGATGCCTCAAGCAATCCGGGAGTCCCGGGAGCAGACGCTGAAGCTGAGGACATTAGTGCAATCTTTCCATATGATGGGGACCCCGAGCTCATTGAATCTATGGAAGACGAGACTTATCCCCTTGGTCCAGCATCTGAAAATACGCATCGTAGCTTAAGTCTTCCGCCTGCTCCTGATAAAAGACAGAGCGAGCCCCCGTACACGGATCCTAACGACGGGGATCAAGACGTCACAGTGGGGCATGTTGTTTCATTTAAGCGCAAAGAGCTATTTGCTACGGCAGAAGAACGTGGGCACATCAGTCGGAAGACACACCTGGACCAATGAAGCAAATGGTCCATGACGCACATATAACCGGTCCCGTTCCGCCGCGCATCGAAGCCATCCGCAATCGGACTGGCAACGCACTTCGATATACGGCCGAATTTGCGGAAGATCCGATTTTCGCAATGTTGGGGAGCGTCAATCAGGGCGCTGGCACCTTCGAGCAGGCGAAGGATTTCCTTAGAGCTGAATGTTATTCCGACGATGTCCCAGAAGGGTTTACCCCGGAGGCTTTTACGTGCCTTGAGCCGCTGGTAGTTGGCGTCGACAACAGAGGAAATCCGATTGTTTTGGGCAGTTCGGACACTTGGTGCACCCAGAGCTGCCGAACAGATGTATTTGCCAGGAAAATTGGCAAGCGCGCTGTGTACCTCGCGAGGCATCGTTCTGACTATGCGAGATCGTCGGGAGGCTGGGTCTACTTTGGAGACCTAGTGCAACAAAATAAAGACTATTGTTTTACTTTTCAATCAGATGCCCTTGCTGCACACGGCTTAGCCGTGTTGCCACCAGAGACAATCGATTTTTTGGGAATATTCCCCAAAGATAGTTATCATTTTATCCGCACCAGTGTCCACGAAATGTGGACACGATATGCGGCGTGCCCATCGCAAGAGGAAGAGAGGAGTGAGACAGCTATACCCATTTTCTATCGAGCATGCCAGGGACATTCAACATTCGTTGCTTCCATTGAAAGGATGTATGTCCCGTATGACCCTGGCCAAGTCAGGAGTCATGGATCTCTTCTTCATATCGCGGACTTGCAGACATCCCTGGAGTCTACGGATGGAAGAGTCCGCTTCCCGAAGAGTGATTCAGGGCTTTGTCGCGACGCAGACTATGAGTTGCTGCGGTTGCTTCCAACGAACAGGAGCCCTACAATGCCTGACCCTACACGTATTCCTCCGTGGCTCAGCCAGCGGAAATACGGATAACCTCTCCCAGCAAGGAGCTTAGTGCCCATGGGAAATGTGGCGCAGAGAGGAGAACCGCAATCAGCGGGGACTTGGCCCGCAGACGACACCAACCACTTATGGCAGCAACTTCCCAATCGTCGCGAGTCATGGGAACTTGTCCTTGTTTTCACCAGCCGAGTGCTCACTCGCTTCTCGCACAGGGTCTGCCCAGACTGGACCCTAGTGTCTAGAGAGGTGCCGAGATTCACTGACATTGACAAAGCCGTCTCTCTCGTTAAACAGACGGACCAGATGCGCTGGTCGGTAATTTTCAACCGCGAGTGGGCTTCGTACGAAGTGACTTTCGACAATGAGTCGATTACTGCTTGGATTCACACAGACGAAAGACTACTGTTGTCGTGGAATCGTCGGCCGGCGCTGTCACCCGAAATCCAGGAACGGGTTCTATCCGTCCCTTGGGAAGATGACGGGAGGTTCCTGCGCTTCCGTTATCGCTGGGTGAGGACGGGTTTTGCAAATTGTCTTGTCTGCAGCTGTCCGATTAAATACAAGCATAGGGCCACGCGCGATTGCATGACTCAGACATAGAATTGCAGCACAATCCCGCGGTCCCTTGAGGCGAATGGCCTCGTCTTAGAGGTGGTAAATCAACGCGATCATCCCTGGTGGGGCCGTCCCCAATATAGAAAAGTGCGTGGGGGACGACAACAGAGAGCTTCTGCGCCAGCAATGAAGAACACCAGCAGTAACCATCAGCAGGAGCGACCATGGGCGAATGGGGAATGCGCTAAACTAGCGGCAGCTGGCCAGATATTCGGCAATAGCCTGCTGGGCAATTTCCCGGCTCGGGTGCCAGAGAACGCCGTGGCTCAGCCACCGGCGCGCCATGCCCCTTTCTTCCAATATTCAAGGCCTTCGGTCAGACGGTTCATATCTTGGCTTGAGTATTCAGCCAAACGGGTGAGCAGGCGGAGCCCGGCGATTAATACCTGGTGGCCGGAACTATGGAAGACAAACTTTGACCAATATGTTCGCCCAAGAACTTGCCCAGCTCTGGCCGCCCTTGACGGGCCAAATGAAAGGGGCGACTTAGTCGTGCCCCGAAGAGGCCTGGATAGATGGTATAGCGATATGACCAGATCAAATGTCTTTGTCTTGACGCTTCAAACATTTGATGACGCGGTAAACTTCGGGAGACCATGGTTGCCCGTGCAGGATGAAAATGTCGTGGAAGACGCAGAAAGAAACACCGGAGGGGAAAACCCCCCCGCGCGATTGCCGCTCGTTTGGGGGAACAATTTCAGAGCGAGGCCAACTCGCAGTTCCCAGTCCGTTTCAAGACGGGTCAATGAGTGTCGGGACCACCGCCTCATAATCCCAGCATTGCTACATGCCACCGGCGAAGCCGCGAGGGCAGGTGAACAATCACAATTGGGACTCGACTTTTCGGCAATTATCGGGCCTATGGCCGCGCTGATAACCGAGGGAACGATCAACCTTGATCATCCTGACGGATATGTGTACAATCACTGCGAAGACCCTTCGATAATAATAACTTTGATCGGGGCAGAGGCTCGGGCAACTGCGGCTCAATATGTTGTCGAACATACAGGCACACGTCCGAGTAATCCTGGCAGGATAATGCTGCAAGGAGAGGCGGGTCATGAGGTCTCACCAATTATCAAGACTATAGTAGATGAAAACTGGCTGGCCTCTGTACAGCAGATGCAACTGGGTCTTCGCCCTACATGGATTGTTGCGATTGTTCGCGAAATCATCAGCTCCTTTATCTCATAAGGACCTTTTTTTGGCTACCTGGGGCGAATAATTCGCCCCGATGCAGCGCGCGCAGATGATATTACTTCGAAGCGACGGACAGATGAGCATGCTCTTGACTGCCGCATTCGTGCCGCTGTTCAAACGGACGACATAATAGAGAAGTGGGCCCCTAATATGGGCAGGAAAGTGCAGAATTATGTCCGTTGCCAGGGTGCTCTCATACAGGAAGCCATTTCTTGGCTTCAGGACAAATATCCTGATCCTGGAACAGAACTCCAGGATAAAAGATGATGGACCCTTCCGCACTGCATGCGGAAAGTATGGTGTCCCAGTGGCGACTGCTGCTAGGAGTGTATTACAATGTATGCGAGATCCTAAAAACGATGACCCATACCACGACGGCCAAGCCGACCTCGTGGGACCGAGAAGGGCGCCGGATGAGGCGAAGGCTAGGCCTTTAACGCCACCCCCGCCGCTTAGACCTGACGCCCCAGACGTTCGGGCCCCGGATGACGCCGCCGAGCCCCCGCGGTCTGTCGCCGGCCCAGCCGTGGCGACAAGAGAGGTATACCCACGGTGTCCGAACACTTGGGATCGGTCGGTGCCCCGGCGCGCGCGATGGGGCCATGGATGCCGGCCGCGGCGCTGCTGGCTACGACTACGACTACGACCCGTCCATGTCCTACCCGCGCTACGTAAACAATGTTCATGTCGGGCACTATATCGACCGGAACCGGGTCACGAGGCTGTCCGACGAAGAGTGGTGCACTCTGGATTACTAGCACATACTGTCTACGCATGAGCATGACGCTCGCCTTCCGTCCAAAGGGAAGGCATCCAAGAACAAGGAGAATAACTACAGCGCTTCGGATCAGGGCCGTTCCCGCTCGCCTCGCGGCGGAGAAGGACATGCTGGAGGTGCGGCGTCGTCAAACCCGCCGCCTCCGGAGCCGCCCGTGGAAGGGGAGAACCCGTGGGAGGACCTGAACTGAGTTCTGCCCGCGTGACTCTGTCGCCGCAGGCGCATGCAAGAAAGTTCTCATCCACGCGCGGTACGCGTGTTGGATGAGTAATTACTTCTACTGGTCGGCAAAGCCGGCCCAGCGGAGAGAATTTATTTAACGTGATGGTGGGAGTCGTCGGGCCTCTTCGGCCCTTGGCCCCCTGGCAGCCACCGTTGAGCCGTGCAAGTTTTTGGTGTTGGCTCCGGTGGTTGTGCATATGTATAGGCCACGGGTGCTGTGGCTGGATGGGCTCTACGAGGCCCGCCGCGGGGGGAGTAAATATGCTCCTCTCCGCCTCATCTTCAAATGCAATTTATGTCAACTTGCATGCTACGCACTGTCTGCCTGAACTAATGCTGCATCCTGCAGCTGTATTGATTGCTCGAGCAAGCTTGTCTTTGCTTGCAGGAGAGAAAAGGAGCTTTCCAGCCCTCGGCCGCCGCGCGTCGTCGGTCGTAGGCCAGCCGCCCTCCTCCCTACACGTTCCTGATTGAGTATTCTTGCTTACCGGATACTTGTCTTATCGATGTCTCATCCCGTCCCCTCTCTCCCTGAGCAGAGTGAACATGAGATCTTAATTCCTTTGGCATCTTACCCCGATTCTCAGAGGAAAGACTCGACGTCTTTGCTTCGAGCGATTCTGGAAGCCCTCGTCGCCGCGGGGCTGCCTACAGCTCGGACACTTGGCAAGGATGGACCCCAGAACCGGATGGTGGCCGGACGGCGACGACGGCGGAGTGTCGTCGGCCCGCGACGACAATGGCGGCGGCGACGGCGATGGTGGCTCGTGCGCGGAACGACGGCGACGACGACGACGGCGATGACGGCGACACCAGACAGCCACAAGTGGGAAAGTTGTGGTCGTTACCTCCCTGCGGGACCCACCGGCCTTGACATCCCTCTCGGGGGCTCGTCGATACGGGGTTCCCTTCAGGGAGTTTTGGAACGCATCCCTTTCCCGTCGCCAGAGAATAAGAAAAGGGAGCGGAGCAAAAGGGAGGGAGGGGAGGCCTTTTGAAGGGGAGGGGAGAGGAGGGAGGGACAGGGACGGAAAGGTCTTTAGGACGGGGTGCGTCGTTTTTGCCAGCGGTCGTGTTCGCTGCGGCTGTCTGCGCCTGTGGTCGTGGTCGTCTTCGCCCGGTCGTCTTCGCTTGGTCGTCTTCGTTATTATGTCTTCGTTGTGTTGTCTTCGCCCGATCGTCTTCGCCCAGCCGTGCTCGCCCGATCGTCTTCGTCCCACCGCCCTTTCGCCCGTCAGGGTCCGCTGCTCGACCGGCCCGTCAGGGTCGAGCTTGCAAGCAAGCGACCGGGCCCCGGTCGTTTGCTTGCAATCCTGCCCGCTCGTTTTGATGCTCCGCCCGCCGGAACAGCCCGTCAGGGTCCGCCCGCCCGGATTGCCCGTTCGGGCCTGCCTCCCGAGCCGCCAGTTCGGGTCCGCCCGTTCGCTTGCTTGCAAGCCCGCCCGCTGGCGAAGGCGGCCGCTAGCGGATTCGACCGCTGGCAAAGATTGTCGCCAGCGAAGACGATCTCGGCGAAGGCGACCGCTGGCGAAGAAGACCGCCGGCGAAGCCGGCCGCTGGCGATAACGAGTCGTACCCTTGGGACTCCCTGGAGCACCCCAGGACCTCCCCAACATCATCAAACATCCTCCTCCCTCTTCCATCCTCGGAGGAGGGGATGAAAACGAGGAGCCGAGGCGCGCTTTCAGAAGTTGCAGGCCGAGGAGATCGCCGACGCCGAGCAAGAGGCCGCAGGAATTTCGGAGAGAGGGAACTTCCCCACGCGGTCGGTTGCCTGTGTTTTTTGTTGTCGCAGCGGAGCATCTCGCTGTTCACCATGTAGAATAAGCTGGTACTTGAAGTTCAGAGAGCACGTTGGAGTTGAACGTAGTCCTTTCTCAGTAGTTGTGACATGTTTTGCCTTTCCATGCCGCCTGTGGGAGTCTCGTCGCTGCGGCTAGATTTGCTTCGAAATCCTGGTCAGAGCGCGCTCCAGAAGAGATCCTGGTGCCGATTTGGGGACAGAGAGGGAGAGTTTTGCCAAAAGGTCGGGGATGGGATGGGCTTCTCCTCCTCCTCATCATCATCATCATCATCATCATCATCCTCCCCCATCCCTTCGGTAAGGCGGGCTGGGCGTTTCAGCTGAGATTTCCTCACCAGTTATGGTCCTGAAGTGTAACATACACAACAGTTTCAGGGATGAGGCCGTTTTCACAATGTGGCGCTCGCCATGGCGCCGCGAACATTAGTTTTAAAGTCTTGTAGCTTCATGGAAGACGGATCGTTTGAACTTGTGGTTCTCGCCATAGCGCCGCGCGCATTCGTCTTACTTCGTCTTAGCAGCTTGCAACACATTTACGGATGGAGGGCGGATCGTTTTCAGATTTCGGATCCCGCCAAAGCACCGCGCACGTGTGTCTTGTTTTGTTGCGTCGGTTTCAAATTGTCGTAGGGTTTGAATCCCGGGAAGGGTGCTCTGGCAAAGTTTAGGATTGCCAGGACGCAGCAATCACGTGGATTCGCGGTGCTGAAGTTCCAGGAGTTGCGTGGTCTGGTACGATTCAGGATAGCAGGACGCATCAGTCGCATTGATTGTTCTGTGGCGACGAAAGCCCAGGGATGGTGTTTTGGCACGGTTGAGGATTGTCAGACCTCTGTTCTCCAATGGGGCATATCCCGCAATAATGATAATGAATTCTTGTAGGGAATTATGGAACAAGAAGTTTGGAGGGAGGGTGGATTGCAACATCGTTGATGCGTCTTTGGCTTACACTGGTCCTCCTCCTTCTCCTCTGCTGGGCCGTCTGCTGCCCCCTCCTCTCCTCCCCCCTCCTCCCCCCCATCCCCATCCCCTCCCATCGCCCGTTCTCACGTTGGACCCCATAAGCCCCCTTCGTCTGTGGACCACGAGAGTGATTGCCGTGGGGCTGGCCAGGTCAAAACGACTCCCGCAGGAGTTGCCGACGACGCGCAGCAAGCTGATGACGCGGATGTCGAGGAGGCCCCGACGAAGGTCCGCCGCTTGATGAAGAAGACGGTGACTGACATGTCCATCCAGGCCGAGGTCGACCAGGTCCTCGCCGACGCCGACGAGGGTGGTGCCCGCCAGGCCTGCCCAACGCACGGGGGGCTCGAGAGTGATATGAATCATGCGCTCTGTACAGGCGAAACAGATAGTAGGATGGGCAACCTTCCCAAGGGTACCCTTGCATCCTCAATCCTGCTCGATTGCCAGCGCCTCTCGAACAGCTTCGACATGGGTGTCCAAGGCCCTTGCGTCCGTTTCGCGCATTCTTAGTGTCAGTGTTTGTTGTATTCATGCGTTCTGGAGTGTGCGCGGGGGGTTCACCTCGCCCCCCCCCTGAAGGGAGGCAATCCGCGCGGTTGCAGCCCCTCGGGCGCGCGGTGGTTGTCGGCGGCGGGTGGTGACGTTGGCGCTGTCGGCCGGGGTGGCGCCCCTCAGCGCCTTATCTCATCCAGCGCGTTCCACTACTCGCAAAATGCCTACTTGCAAGCATCTGAGAAACTCATGTTTGCCTCTCGACGTCATGGATCGTGAATCCCCCGCGGCTGATCCATGCCACTTGCGAGCACGTAGTTACTTTGCGAGTAGTGGAACGCGCTTGTCTATTATCGTGGAGCTCGGAGCACGTGGGACCTCGTGGCGAGGCCACCCTTTTCCCGACACCCGACGCCCGATACCTGCTTCGGCAGCACGTTTACTTATTCGTCACCGGGGGCCCTTGTCCCACGGCGGCCGGAAAGATGATACCTTGACGTGCCACCGTAGGGGTATAAATATTGCAGCCGACCTGTGCTGTTTGTTGGCCAGGGCTCGGGGTGGATTTGCCCTCCCCGTCCTTGGCCCTTCGGCTCACCAGGCCGCCCCCCTCTGGCCCCGGTGCGCGCCGAGGCGGAATTTTCCGCCTGCTGGCGCCCTCCCCCCGCCGTGGGGTGCCTCGCTAAACGTGGCGGACAGAACGTGGAGTTCAAAAACAAATTCGTCGCGTCCTGACAGTTCTAGGCCGTGCCGGAACACCATGTCGGGGAGTCCAACACCGCGAGTCAGGGTGACTGTTGCGCCCTGACATTCCCAAACGGTGCCAGATCGCGAGCCCAGGGCCTTGCAGCTGTCGCGCACTTTTTGCGAATAACGCGCGCGGCGCTACGGGGGTACGTTTTGAACGCGGCCCGCCCTCCATCCGTGAATATGTGTCAATATTTGCTAATGTGCGCGGCGCTGAGGCGAGAGCCAAATTTTGAAAGCGAGCAGCCCTCCGTCTGAGAAGCGGCCGCCGATTTTGAAGACGGATGAACGCGGCGTGGGGGCGAAAACCACATTTTGAAAACTACCCGCCATCCATCCGCGAAGCTGTTGCTATTCGCATCGAGCGTGCGCGGCGCGAAAAAACGAGAGCCGCATTGAAATCGAAACGACATTTGCCCGTGAATTTGTTGTAGCATTTGACGAATGCGCGCGGCGCTACGGGGAGAGTTCCGCGGCCATTTTGGCTCGAACCATTTTGACTCATGAGCCGTTCTGGCCCAGGCGTGTCTGGGCTTGCGACAACAGGATTCAGAGCGGCAGTCACTGTCGCGTGCCTTCTTGGGCTTCAGTTTCAGGGGAGCTCTGGCCCTCCGTGCAGTTTTGGGGCAGCTCATGCCCCGCAGTTTCGCGTCTCGCACAGAGGCAGGCAGCCATGGATGGAAACGTGGTCCGCGGACCCAGGCAGCCTTTCTGGGGCCGCCAGCAGTGCGGGCTCACGTCGAACTGGGCATGCCGCCTGCGCTGCCGCTGCGGAGCCAAGGCGCCGCCCTCGGTGGTCAAAAAGGCCTTGGCTTTCGGGGGTCAGACTGCTGGCGGCGGCGGCGGCAATGGCGGTCGTGCGCGGCGGCCAGCAGCAGGGCCCAGGGCGGAGGCCCAGGACGAAGGTTCACTTGGAGAAGCTGCTGGCCGAGCTCCCCGAGAGGCCCGAGCAGCTCACCGCTCCGCCACCGCGAAACCCAAGCGGCCCAGGGGGGCGGACAGGCCGCCGATGAGCCCGCCGAGGGCCCGCTGCGAGCAGAGGCGAGTCAGTTCAAGGCGGCCATCAACGCCGGCAAGGGAGAGAGCATGGCGCCCGCCCGGAAGTTGCTGGAGCAGCAGCTCAAGGATGTACGCCTTCGAATCGAGAGTAAGAAGCCTGACCCCACGCAGAATAATTACGCGGGGCGCGAGCTTAATCATGCGCAGGCGGCTCACGAAACTCAAGGATGAGCTGGCTGCGCACGGCAAGGTTGCAGAGCAGATGCAGAAGGACCATGCTGATCTGGATGCCGAGAGGATTGCTGTGGAGGCTGAATGCGACGTGCTGCAGAAGCAGCTGGCGGCACCTCCGCTTGCAGGTGGTGATGATGGGCCTGTGCAGGGTGATGCTGCCGCGCCGAAGGAGCTGCTGGGCAGGAGAGCGCCCGCCCAGGCCATGTTCGAGAAGGCAGCATTCAGAGAGTTCACCGCGCTCTTCCGCGCGCAGGCCGCGAAGGCAAGGGCGGCGCTTCGTCCTGGTGGTAGTGGGCCCGGTGCTGGTGCGGCCTTTTCGGTATCAGGTGGCGCAGGAGACCAACGGTGCGTGCGCGTGCCCATGCCATGGGCAACGACCTCGACGATGCGTTCGCGAACGTGGCCGATGCTGAACAGTTCCGGGATCATCACCAGGGGGATAAGTGCGCATTCTTGGACGCGCGCTCCTCTCCGCCAAGGTCAAGCGCACTCGGGCGTCGCAGCTTTGGTGATGGAGTATCGTTCGATGGTGCTGGCAGCGGTGGTCTGCATTGTGGAAGTCGTTTTTTTTCTTCTTAGATATCCGGGCCAGTGCAGAGAGTTGTTGATGCGAGCCTGACGCGGCGACGGCCGTTGGGCCGCACTCGCCGCGAATCAATGGCAGCCTGCTGTTCTTGTGCAGCACCTGCGTGCCACCAGTGTCGGTGGGTATCGTGCCACGCCGCCAGGTAGCGCGTCTGGCTTCTGTGACCTGCAGGGAGAGGAGTCGGAGGCAGTGCATGTGGAACCTGCCTCACGCTACACGGGTTTCCCATGGCGTCGGCCGCCCGCCTGTCTCCGCCGCCCCCGATCAGGGCGATTCGGTTGCGCATGTGTTCGGATGCTCTAATGGGAACGGTTGGGGCACGCTTGAGAAGAGGTTAGCTGCCGCGGAGGCCCTTGTTGTCTGCGTTCAGGAGATAGGGGTGGATGGGGTGAGACTAGCTGCCCGAGTTATCACCGCTGAAAGTATGGGTTGGAATACGCTGCGCGCGCCTGCCATGCCTTGCGAGCACGGGCAGTTAGTTCTCGGCTGGCGTGGCTGTTTTCGCGCGGACCACTATCGGATTACGTTGGCCACCACGCGTGGCCAAGGGTATCGCGGTGCCGCGCGTGCTCTTTTTTGCTGGGGTTGACCTCCCGGGCCGGCCACCGCTTCTTGCAGGCAGTGCGTGCGTGTACACCGGGGGCGGGGTTGAGTCAGAGGAACATCGACATGCTGCTCTGCAAGGCTGGGCAGGCGATGGAGGGGCGGCACCTCGCTCTATGAGGTGCCGACTGTAATTTCGGTCTCGCGCGCTCGGAAATGCCAGGCATGGCGCGCGAGGGGCGGGCATGCTCACCCCGCAGCCCCCGATGGAGATCCCCGCGACGCCGCAGGCCAACGCCGCGATCTATTTGTTTTTGGCTTCGGCTTGCTTTCAGCAAGCTTGCGCGGCAAGTTGCCGCTGTGACAACTTGGGCCAAATGGCCCCATCGCCCAGTTCAGCTGCAACTCGGGCCAGGCGCTGCGAAGTTGCACCAGCTGGTATGCACCAGGCACCAGAGGCCCCCGCGGACCTCCTCTATGGGCCCTCGGGGGCGCCCTTAGACTGGACCGTGCCAGGAGCGGTAGCCGAGAAGGCTAATCTCGTCGCCGATTCCCGTGCCGTTGCCGCGGCGTGGGGCGTGCTAGGCGAAGCTTTGAAAGCCTGGTCGCCCGTTGCTCGTTGGGCCCCGGTGCTCCAACCTCCTCGGCGCAAGGAGAAGGGCGAGGTTCGCGCTCGGGTCGGTCGGGTCTGGCTCCAGCAGAATACCATAGATCTTCTGAGCACGAGCCAGAGGATAGTTGCGCAGATGAGCGCGATGGTCGATCAGGCCGAAAACCAAGCGGCGCGCCATTTGATCGATCTTGTTCCCCAGCCTTCCGGCGCAGAAGGGATTCCGCTTAGGCTCGGCCTCGCAGTCGCGAAGGCCCGCCAGGTGATGGCCGAGCGGCCTGTGCGCCTCGCTGGGCTTTCAGACTGGGTCGACCAGGTCGCCGAGCCCCCGGGGGAATGGGGGGGGGGGATTTCTCGGGGGCGAGGAAAAGACTGGATGGGGAAGAAAGAGAGGGGTGGGCTTAATGGCAAGCGGAAGCCTTAGCAGGCTCTGCGCGCGAGATGCATCGATTGACCCGTCTCAGGAACAAGTGGGGGCCGATTGTCACCGAGAAAAACTTCGGGGTCTTCCTTTCAGCCCCGCGATTGTTGCTGGCCAGGGAGGCCGATGTTTTTATTATGTTTTTTTTGTTTGTGTGTGTGTGTGGGGGGGGGGGGATGCTGCCACTATGCGGCCGCCTGTGGAGGTCCCTGATAGGAGCTGTTCTGCCGGGCTGAGCGCGGAGGGCATGCGTTCGGCCGCCAGGGCCTTCTCGCCACGAGCAGCGCAGTCCCTGGCGGGGTGCGCGCACAGCAGCTCGCGTGCTTGACGGTTGATGGGTTGGACACCCTGGCTCGCATTTGTCAGACGACGGAGAAGTTGGGGCTGTGCCCTGGGGCCCTGCACTGGACGTTGCTCTCCCTCCTCGAGAAACCCAAGGGGGGGGTGCGACCCATCCTCCTGTGCGCTGCGCCCGTTCGGTTGCGGGAGAAGCTCAGGGGGCCCCACCTCTCGGCCATTTCGGACCAACGCCCTCGGATGCACTGGGCGTTCGGGGCGGGGAAGTCGGCGGAAGCTTGCGTCTGGGGCCAAGCGGTCAGGGCGGAAACCGGGGTGGAGGGCGGGGGGGTCGCGGCTGGTTTCTCTTTGGATGGTGCCGAGAACGGCGAAAGTTTTTGATGCAGGTACCTTCAGGAGGGGGGCTCGGGAGGCTGGGCTTGATCCTATCATGGTCAAGGTCACGATTAGCTGCTGGAGGGGCCCACGGACCCTGCGCCCAGGATCTGACCGCGGCATTGCGAGCTTGCGTGCTACCAGCGGCCTGCCAGCTGGATCGTGCTTCAACGACGATGTCGTGAAAAGTGTGCGCGGTGCCGCCTTTTGATTGCCTTGTGCACGTCAACCCGTGCGTGGACCTGTCGACGTACATCGGCGATGGCGCTGTCAGCTGGCATGGCCAGCAGAGCGACGTGCTCAAAGCCCTAAGAGACGCGCGGTCGATCTGCACCGAGTCTTCACGCAGGAGATGGGAGTTCGCCTCGCGCCTGGTGTGCTGATGACCCTTGCTTCGGATCAAGGAACTGCTCGTCGTCGCCTCTCGGATCGCCTTGGAGCCCTGGCGGGGCAAGTCGGCACCCGCGCGACGACCCTCGGATGTGATCTGGCGCCTGCGGGAGGTCGGAGTAAAAAGGGGCTTGGCGATAAGGAAATCGACCGCAGTCTCGCGCATGCGCCCATTCGTCGGCTCGTGGACCCTCGGACCAAAGGGGCGGGCCTCACGGCCCAAGGAAAGTACCTGGCAAGGTCAGTTTTCTGCGAAGGCCTGCGGGCTGAGGGCCGAGCGGTCAAAGCTGGCTACGTAGGCCTTGGTCAGTGCCCAGTGTCGGGGACCTGGCTTAGTAGGGCACCGCCTGCACCCGTGCCAGCAAGAAGAGGTGGTCAAGGCGAGAGGCTCGCTGAAGCTGCCCAGCCAGCTCTGCCGGAGCGCCCCAGCTGGCGAATGTTACGTGTTCGGAGGCCCGAAGATAGGACATCCTGTCAGTTGTTGGCCTGCCGCCAGTGATGAGCACGCGCCTGTGGTATCTTATAACTGGGGGAATGAGGCTCACTGGATTGAGCTCAGCGCCAGCGGTCCAGGCAGGGGATGGGCCTTGCATGCCTCACACGATCCGCGAGTTGTCTAGGGCGGCGTGCCCCTGGGTCTTTTTCAACGAGCAGGGGGAGCAGACATCTGTTGCGAGAGGAGCTGTGTGGCCATCGCTCCCGCGGACGAGCCAGGCCGCGGGGCGGCTGCGGCTCGCCTTGCTGCCCATCTTTCTGCCTGGTCTAACTGCTACGTGCTACAGTTGTTGCATGAATGCGGTTAAGCTCCATAGCGCGACCCCTTTTGGAACATATGGCCCCTAAGCGACGATGTGGGGGCTTGTTGCGAGGTGCCTTGCAACGATCCATATGCAGAATGAGAAATATGCCCCAGCTGCGCACGCGCCTGCGCACAGGAAGCTGGGGGGCACATATATGCTGCCGCAGCCCTGTCGCAGCATGGGCCAGGCTAACTGGAGGGCGGATACTTCGGGCAACTATGCGATCGAGGTCCACCCTGGGCCGTCTAAGGCCGAGTGTAAGCAGCTCCAGCATGTTGCGCCCCTAGTAGAATGGGCGGCCAGAGTGGCTGCTGCTCTTTTGTCGCGTTTCCCAAGGGCCTCGCACCAAAGGTCCCCATGGGAGACCCCGCCGCCGGAAGATTATCGTCAGGGCGACGTCTTGAAACTCTTGGGAACCCGCGTTTTGGGGTTACCGCCCAGCCCAGTGTCTCGAGTTTTTCGGGGGGGGGGCCTTCAGGACAGACGCGAGATGGGATGTGGAGGTTTCCCAGAGCGCGTGGCCGAATTGCTCGCTTGTGCGCCTGAACATGGTCACAAGCTCGCGCGTGCGCAAGTCGGCGATGAGAAGGTTCCGCTGCTGCTCTGTCTCGCGTGTGGAGCCCACTCGCAACGCAAGATTTGGCAGCTGGCGGCACTTTACAAGCCAGGGGGCGCTGGAAGTGAATCGCAGGTGCTGTCTCGTTTGCGCCGCGGCCTGCGCCCGCTGCGCAACACTCCAGTGTCGCGCGCCGAACCTGATGAGCAGGTTGGGCGCCAAGAGGCCACCACAGTCCTGGAGGTCGCTCGGCGGGGCGACCTAAAGGCCTCTGCCGCTCCGCTACCCTGCTTGGAGGCCATCCGAGCCCACACTGCGGTTCGGGAGGCTGCGAGCAGGTCGCGGTGAGCGGCCGAACTGTTGCACTGGTCGGGCAACAGTGCCCCCCCAAAACAAAACAAAACAAACGAAAAACAACTAAGGCGAGAGCTGTTGCAATATTTGTAGAGTGATAGGCGCGGCGCTAAGGCGAGAGCCACATTTTGAAAACGACCCGCCCTCCATCTGACACGCTGTTGAAAATTTCAAGTTTCAGAATCATAATTGGCGAGGAAGTCTCAGGCGAATCGCCTGGCCTGCCCTACCAATACGTCTGGGGGTGCTACGGGGAGGAGTTGTTCATCCAGAAGAGGATGGGGGAGGAGGAGGAAGAGGCGAAAGAGGATATCAGGCGGAGGGATGGGAGGTACGGCATTGGAAGTAGGAGGGGTGGGGGCAGGGGCCGATGAGGGCGGAAGAGGAGGAGGAGGAGGAGGAGGAGGAGGAGGAGGAGGAGGAGGAGGAGGAGGAGGAGCAGGGCCAAGACCTGCGCGACCGCGCCCTTCCCGGTGCCAGCCCCTCCCCCGTTCCTCGCACGCAGGGGGGGCGGGGAGTCCGCCAGGACGAGCGCAACAGGCAGCGTGAGGCCCTGGTGCGCATGCAGGACTGCTACACGCAGCGCCTCAAGGAACCGCTGGCCGTCTGGGAACGGCGACGACGAGGATGGCGGCGGCGACGACGGCTCGGGGTACCGCCGTCGAACTCGGCCGCAGTTTTGAAGTGTTGGCCAGTCAGAGGGGGGCGGGACAATCGCCCTGCGCCTCGTGATCAGCGTGGGAGGCGTGCCCCGCCGGCGGGGGTCGACGACCTCGCCACGTCGGCGCACTGCGCCAGGGACTGGAGCGCGTTCGGCGCCCGGCGGCGGTTGTCTGCGACGGGGGTCGATTCGGGGCTGTACTCTGAGGTTCTCGATGGTGTCGTCGGCCACGCGCAGAGGGGGTGGTTCTTAGATGGAGACTGCCTCTTGGAAGGCGCGGGCCTTGTCTGTAGATGTCAGGCAAACGCCTTCCAGAAAGCAGCCTCCGTCTGAGGAGCCTTTTCCCCATCCCCCTGCCTCCCTCTGCGCGCCGCCAAAAACTGGCCGTTCCTGACAGGCCTGCCCGAGCGCAGACCGCACGGGGGGCTCGCCTGCCGATCGCTGCACACCTGCTCACTCTGTTTGCGCCACTGGGGCGGCCGTGCCCGACGGGCCTGCCCGAGCGCAGACTTGCACGGGGGGCCGCCTGCCGCTTGTGCGCGCCGCCAGGTTCCGCGCCCATCCTGAAACGCTTTCAGCCGTGTTTCCCTCTGCGGCCGCTCCTTCCCCCCGCGTGCCCTCTCTTGCAGCTCGATAACTAGCGTGTCGAGTGCCCCCAACCACTCGAACGCACGTGCGAATTGCCCCCTGCCGTGCTGCGACGAGAAGAGCGTGCGCCGCCAATGTCGGGAGGTCTCCTGGGGGCGCTCGACACTCGGGTCGCCTTCTGGCAGCCAGGCCTCGTCTGGATCCCGCCGGGGATGCCAGGATCGTGCCGAGGCCACCCTCCCCTGGCCGGACAGCTCAGCTAATCCCTCGCCAGACAGCGACAGAGTCGTTCACAAGTTGCCCCGCCATCCAGGCTGGGCCAAAGGTCACAGCCAACCAGACTCGGTTTCGTCGGATATCCGTTTGCATCCTTCGTCGGGGACCTCCGCCTTCCGCCTCCTCCGTTGCCTCTCCTCTCCCCTTCCACTTTCCCTCTATACCCACCCGGTACCCTTCGTTGTGCGCCCTTGCCTCCTTCTCCTCTTCCTCCTTTTCCCCTTCCCCTCCCTTCACCCCATCCTTCGGGAGGCGGCGTCGCCGTGCAAGGGTGTGGCATCTTGATGCTCGGTCTTTGAAACTAGGTATTTTCGGGCTCCCCGATCCCAGTCTACGTTAGGCGCCCTCCTACTTCAAGAATGGATGCTCTTTTGCTATGTTACCTAACAGCTCTTGCTGATAGGTTTCCAGTGGTCTCAAAAGAGAGCATCATGACTCCTCAGGGGGGTCTGGGCGGGACCCGGGGGGGCTGCCGCCGAAGCCGAAATCGCTTGGGACATCCTCGCAAAATCGCTCTTGGTGCTCCCAGAACTCCATTCCCGGGCCACATTTTGGATGCCCGGAGCCAACTGTAGGCCACTTCGTGCTCTTCGACTTCCCAGAACTCCATTCCCGGGCCACATTTTGGATGCCCGGAGCCAACTGTAGGCCACTTCGTGCTCTTCAAGTTCCCAGAACTCCATTCCTGGGCATGATTTTGAATGCCCGGAGCCAACTGTAGGCCACTTCGTGTTCTTCTAGTTCCCAGAACTCCATTCCTGGGCCACATTTTGAATGCTGAGGCAGGCTGATGCTGCGGCCGAGGCAGGCTGAGGCTGAGGCAGGCTGAGGCTGAGGCCGAGGCTGAAGGCAGACTGAGGCTGAGGCTGAAGCAGACTGAGGCTGAGGCTGAGGCAGGCTGAGGCTGAGGCTGAAGCAGGCTGATGCTGAGGCAGGCTGAGGCTGAGGCTGAGGCTGATGCAGGCTGAGGCTGAGGCAGGCTGAGGCTGAGGCCGAGGCTGAAGGCAGACTGAGGCTGAGGCTGAAGCAGGCTGAGGCTGAGGCTGAGGCAGGCTGAGGCTGAGGCTGAGGCTGAGGCTGAGGCAGGCTGAGGAGGCTGTGACTGCGACTGCCGTTGCCGCTGCGACTGTCATCGCGAATGCGACTACGACTGCGAGAACAGCAGAATTCTACAACTGGATTTTCATCTGAATCTTAAGGGGAATGCTTTCAGATATGCTTCTACACATCGCTGTTAGGTTGCTTTGCCGGGATAATTTTGTTATTATCTGGGAGGGCCTGAGCCCAATCTACTTTATCCCCCTTACTTCTTCATGTTTCTCATGATGTTACCTACTTCTACCGACCGACGTGTATGCCTGAATCCAGCTGTATGCCTTAGGCCGCGGCGCGAGAGTCCCCCTGTGCAAAGTGTGGCCTGGCGGGTCGGCGCCAGGGTGCCTGAGACCTCGGGGGTGGAAGATGAGGAGGATGAGGATCTTTGGAGGAGGAAAAGGCACCCAAACCACTACTCTTCCCTCGTTAACGCCTTTGTGGGCCTTCTACGAGGCCCTCGTCGTCACCGCTGGATTCACATCGAAATTCTGGTCAAAACGCTCCCCGGGAGAGGTCTAGGGAATGAGTTAGCGGTATGGATACCTTGTTGTTTGCACAGAATCAGGGGGGCGGATGGCGGAGTAGAGTACCGGACATTGACGGTGGTAATCATCTGGAGTCCACATATGGATTGTGCTTGCCACGGCGCTGCTGACGGAGGGCTGAAGGAGGGAGTAGCACACGGCGCAACTGTATGAGAGAGAGAGAGAGAGCAGTGTAGAGGAGGGAGGGATGCGGAGAAGCTGGTTTATGATGGAGGATGGTGAAGAAAGTCATCTAATTGTCGGAGTAGAGTGAAACAAGCTTTTTTTTTAAGTGAAACAGAAGAGCCCTGACAACCAACCCCTGCGACAAGGTTGACTTTTTATATGGGTTGGGCATGATGTTATCGTCTTATTCCTTGTTGTACGACATTGCTCACTTTTCGCATGTACTCATCCTCTTATTTGGTGTTTCGCTTGTTCGCGGTTTTGAGATTCAGCTCCATCTCGTGTTATAGGTTTGTTTTTTCCCTCTGATCATTATTTGGTTACTTCGTCTTCTTCGTCTTCTTCGTTTTCTTCCTCGGTTATTCGTTCTTAGTATTCCTTGTTATTCTTCGGATTCCTCTATTACTGTCGTCTTCCTTATGCACCACGTTTCCTTCTCATGTGTTTTCTTCCTGTAGCATCCTGTCGTTGCCTCTCTCGTTTTCCTCTCACTGCCTCCCTCCCCTTGCCGTCGTTTGACGGCGTCTTTGGGCTCAAGAACTTCCGTGGAATTCCGTGGTGACGGTGTGTGATCCAGAATTTCCGTGGAGTTTCGTGGAGTTCCGTGGTGACGGTGGCGATGGCTGAGGCCACTACGCAAATCACAAACAAAACTTCGTTTACCGAGCAAAATACAGAGTTGAATCGCGGAGGATCGTGCCACCGTTTGACGTTGTGCCCCGCCCTCAGAACCGCGGCGGGGATCCAGTGAAATCGCTGCGGACGCGGCAACTCATTGGTGACATCGTGAAGTGTGGGTACGACCCCATAGAGGCGAACCGCAATGGCGTAATCGTCGAAGTTAAACCCGCGGTATCGGGGGGGGGGCGACGCAGTTTTTCACTATTTTTTCGGAGAGAAGGGGAAATCAGATGCCAACATGGTGTGTTATTCATGGGCCGGCGAAGTATGGTAGCTTGTCGCACAGCCATTTGAATGGTTGTTTCCGCAATTTTTTCAGAGAAAAAAAAAGGCAAAGGGGTGCGAGTGTTCCCGCGGTGGCGGGGCCGACCAGGGCAAATGCGCGTGCAAGGCCTCTCCGATCTTGGACGAAAAGGGCACCTACTCGGTGGATAAGGACCGCGCGTTGGAGCCCGAGTGGGCGCGGCAGTGCGTAAGTGGACTGGAGTGGGAGACGCTTTCTTGCAACGTGGACGAGGAGGAGCCCGCGGCAGCTCTCACCGTCGTCGTGGCCCTCACAAAGAGGAACGAGGCCGCTATGAAGGCAGGTCTGCTGAAGGTCATGGCAACTCTGGTGCCCTTTTGCAAGCCAGACCCCAAAGGGCGTGCACCTGTCGATCCTGTGAGGGACGAGCTGGTCGATCTGTACGGTTCCAAAGTCGACCGCCCATTTTTTCTGAATGTTTTCAAGGTGGTGTGCGACTCAGGAGGGCATGGCACCCCTCGCTTGGAGGACTTGTTCGCATTCACACATGTGTTCGTTGACCCGAAGGTGCGAAAAATGCGCATGGCAGCATTTGCTGTGATGGCGCCGCACGCCGTGGAGTTTCCGAAGATAAAGATGGCTTCCATGATGTGGGAATGGAGGCAACCATTAAAGAACACGCAGTGCGAGCTCCCTGTGAATATTGTTCACAGGCTGCAGAGGGGTCCCAAATCTGGGATGTAAGCTGTTTCGCAGCAGGTAGAGGCTGTTGGGGAAATCGCATCCACGGTAGTAGATGCGGCAGCTTCCCAAAATGCAAGAATCAAGCGGGTTGCCGAAGTGGTGCCCAGTCTCATGGGTAAAATCTAAAAGGGCTGCGCCTGCCCACTGCCGCTGGCACCCGACACGCGACGACGAGACCTTCAACGTTCCAGCGCGGCGAGCGGGGGGGGGATCCAGGGGGTGGGGGCGTGGGGGGGGGGGGGGGGGGGAAGGGGGGGGGGGGGCAGGGGGGGGGGTTCTCGTGCTCCCTCGCGTTTGCTTTTCCCTTGGGTTGTCCTACGCAACTCAGGTTTACCTTTTCATTTCCCGCCCCCTCCACGCGCCCCCGCCCCCGGGGGATGGGGCGTCGGATTTTCCGCGCGCCGCGAGACTCCACCGACGGCAAGTCCGTCAAGGAGCAACGAGAAGTTCTCGACCAGGAGAGCGCCGTCCTGATCGCGGCAGAGCGAGAGGAACTCATGCTGACGGGGAAGGCAGGGTGGAAGAAGGAGGACATGCCAGCGCTCACCGCTGGCGCCGACCTCACGATCGCCGCGGCGCAGCACTGGGGCGAC